GGGTGTTCTGCCCTGTTTCAAACCCTGCCATGCCGAGATCCGTGGTGGTAAGTGGCAGCAGTGGCCGCTTTTTTTTTGGCGGGCTTTGCCCCCTCCGCGTCCCCCCCTTTCGCTTCTTCTCCAGGGCGCAGGTGCCTTTCGCGGTTCTTTGCCCTCCAGCGCTGCTGTCCGTGTGTCGGGCCGCTCCTTCTGTTCTCCGGGCAGTGCAGCAGTTTCAAAACCAGTTATCCCTCAATTTCATCCCATTCGCATGGCAGTTGCACTTGTGTGGGCGACTTCTAACCGTTTTCTTTCGTCTCCCGTAAGCAAAGAGTAGGAACGAGCCTGACGATGCGTGGATTGATGATACAACAAAGTGACCTCAGTGTAGCAAAAGGAGGTGGTCCCAGAGTTGGGCTGCCTGCTCCAGTTGTTTCTCAAGTGTTGGTACTTGTCTGGCCACAGAGCGAGCTGGTTCAAACACCTGCACTAGCAATACAGTACTTCCAAAGGACAAAAACCCAAAAACAAATCTTTGAACTGACTTGACTTGAAAGCAGAAGAGTGCTTTTTCGAAGAGAGAGAGATTGAGGGCGTACAGCTGAAGCAGGGAGTGAAATCGTGCTTCTTTCGTCGCCCAGCCTCTAAGATGTATAACCAGTGTTATCCCCCATCAGTTCTCCCTCTTTCTGGTAGATGTAGCAAGTAATGAAGATGAAGAGTTGTCGTGTCTGAAGATGCATTTCAAACCTAGCAGTAGGGTGCCATTACGTGCTCCGTGGAGCCAGACGTTGTATTTCAGAAGTGGGCCCTGTGGAGTGTGCGTGCTGGGTCAGACTCGCCACGTAATGGTTCTGGAAAACGCCTAGTTTCATGCTGATGGCATTCAGATCAGCTTGGAAGTTTGGTATTGACAGACTGAAGCACTTCTGGACACACAAAGAAGCAGAAATGTTAAACACGTTGGGAAATTTGCTGATCTAAAAAGTCAGATGGTTTGGCTGGGATTACTCACAACTTTCAGGATAATTTTTTCAGTCTTTGCTCTTTACATTTCATTTAAATACCAGATTTTTCTCGTGATGGGTATATAGGCTTTTTGAGCATTATTGTCTTAAATATGTCTAAAAATGGAGGAAAAGCTAACCAAGCTGCCATTGTATAGGGCTTTTGCAGGCATAAATGTATTTGACTTTGAAATACTTAATGACATGGCGTTTGGGTGTGTCTTAGTACTTCAGTGTATCTTACATGTCTTTAGTATATATTCAAACTTGCCTGTTCTGTTTTGTGATGTAATTTTTTATTTTGTTTTTCTCTTTTCTTAATCTGTTTTTGCTTCTGTACTTACTTTTCCCTCCCTGTTTTGTTTTTTTTCTTTTTCATTTAGGGAACAGCTTGCATGTATTTTAAACGCTTTTACCTCAATAACTCAGTGATGGAGTATCATCCTCGGATAATAATGTGAGTTATCAATGCGCCTTGAGTTATTCTGTCAAGTGGAACATTGGAGGTATAATCTTTATATCTCTATAAAGACCTGAAAAAATGAGAAAGGAGATCTGAGAGCTTAAATGCAAGTAAAGACAAAGTATGGTCACTTTCAGTTTCCGTTTGGAAAAGTTGGCTGTGTTCAGAACATGGTGTTTTGAAGATACAAATTTTCTGAACTGAACTCTTGATAAAAAGATGGATGCTCCGTATGCCAATCGTTTGCTTTGTTTCCCTCCTCAAGGCTAACATGTGCGTTTTTGGCCTGTAAAGTAGACGAATTTAATGTGTCCAGTGCACAGTTTGTGGGTAACCTTCGAGAAAGCCCTCTTGGACAGGAAAAAGCTCTCGAACAGATACTGGAATATGAACTACTGCTTATTCAGCAACTGAACTTCCATCTTATCGTCCACAATCCCTACAGGCCATTTGAGGGATTTCTAATCGATTTGAAGGTAGTATTGGTTTATATGCTACATGCTCCGTATATGAACGTAATAAAAATCTGTTGTGGGTTGTGTTAGAAAACTTAATTTCCTTTCGTGCCTGTGGTCTCAAAAGATGTAGTTTCTAACGTGATAGGGAAATACCTGAAAGGAAGCCGGTTTAGTTGTGGTCATTAAGCACTTTGGATTATTTTTTGGATTAAGAAGATGGCCTGCTGCTTTTTAGCCTCACAAAATATTGTTGAATTGTGTGTTCTGAGCTCATGGAGCTGAAGACAAGGAACAGCTACTTACTTTCCTAAATTATTACTTTTTAGACTCGCTATCCGGTGCTGGAGAATCCTGAAGTTTTGAGGAAAACAGCCGACGACTTCCTCAATCGAGTGGCTCTGACAGATGCGTATCTGCTCTTTACTCCCTCGCAGATAGCTCTCACTGCCATACTATCTAGTGGTTCAAGAGCAGGAATTAATATGGAAAGGTAGGCTTTTCCTTTTCGTTATAGGTACGATTTAAACAGATATATTTGCTTCTTGTATAGAATTGTTTTGTTCTAGACATTCTTAGCGAGTAAAAGTGCGCATTTACCAGTTGGTAACACTCTGGGATGTTCTTTAAGTATGTTTCAAAACTGAAGCAGTACTGGTTTGGTTTTTTTTTTGGTTTTTTTTTTATTACTTTTTTTTTTTCCCTTTTGAGAAGGTAGGTGATAAATGCAATTAGTTGGTGTCTGGTTTTTATATTCCTTTGGAAGAAGGAAAAAAAAATTTCAAACTGATGACTTTGCCCTAATTAGAACAGCATAGGATTTTCAGACTTGTCTTGAAGATTAAAGAAAGTGGAAATTCAGTAGAAACTGAGGAGTATGAATCACCTAAAGAATCACTTAAAGAAAAAAAAAAAAGTAAGATTTTTCAAGGTATCCAAGGTTGCAGAGTCAGAGGAAATTACACTCAACTGACAGCTACTAGGCGTGCGGAAACCAAGTGCTGTGTTTGGCTGGTATAGCTGTTGGGTTTCCGTGGAAATGGACAAACGCTAAGGTGCTGTTTTAAATCAGTCCCTTCTTCCCTTTCTGCAGTCTAGCCACGGGTGTTTGCAAAGGCATTATCAAACACTTCGGTATCATTGGTGAAATGCATGGTTTGCTTGGTTTGGTTCTTTTTAAGGAGAAAACATGCCCTGTTCTTCAGAAAAACAGCTGAGGTAGCTGCTGTAAGTAGCTGTATCTGGAGTGTTTTAATCGCATGACACTCCGTGTGAGCATTTTGCATTTAGAGTGTAACGCCTGCAGGCACAAGCGCGGATGCTAAATGCCAACAGTTAGAATCATAGAATAACTTTGGCTGGAAAAGACCTTTAAGATCATCGAGTCCAACCTTTAACCTAACCCTGCCATCCCACCACTAAACCCTGTCCCTAAGCGCCTCATCTATCCTTCTTCTAAATACCTCCAGGGATGAGGACTCTACCACCGCCCTGGGCAGCCCATTCCAGAGCCTGACAACCCTTTCGGTGAAGAATATTTTTTATTTTTTTTTTTCCTTTTAAAGAAGCTTTCCTTCCACCTGCTCTAAGAGAATCTCAGATCTCTCATGTTCTAAAGGAACAAGGCAGTGTGGGAGTGTCCTCCACAGGGTTCACTGTCCTCTCAGAATAGCGTAAAAACATTCAGGTCCTTACCGTAACTTGAAACTTGTGGATCTCATTGCTGGATTTATATTCTGTACTGCTTGTGCCAAAATTCAGAAAAGCATGCTTAGAAAAAAACCTAGAACAATTTGTAATCAGTGTGTGGATTGAGCTATGTGAGCTTCATCTTTATGTATTCATGAAGAATTCAAGTCTTCGTCACCTGCCTGCACCACACAGCTGCTATAGCTTTGTAATTTATTGTTTTACATGAGCTTGAGCTGCTGGACATGAGAGAAGCTAATGCTGCAGCTTGGGTCTTGTGGACCTGTGAGTAGGTGCGCCTGTAGAGACGGGATGGAACACAGAAGGTGTGAAAACCTGTTGCTCCCATGATGTCAGTGTATAGGTCAGTCTTGAAAAAGTTAGAGCTTGAGGAAAAAACAGGTGGCTAATAGGTGGCTCCAAATAAATTGTCAGGTCTGGTATCAGCACAGGGTTAAACAATACTCTTAAATTTGAGCTCCACAGCAGCAGGGTAGCTGTCAGTTTGCAGTAATTACCATCTTCATGGTGGCTGGTGCAGTTGTGTGTGTCTGTGAAGTAAGTTTGAAGTTAACACCAACTGAACGGGTGGTTATACTTCGGGGTCTTTGGATTTTTGTAATTCATCCCCCAAGCGCACCTCCTGGGAAGGGATAGAACTACTTGTTTGTTCTGGACCTTGGTGAGGATTGGGGGGGGTTTACCCAGCTGGTGTGTGTATGTATTAATGTTCTTAGTAGAACGGAGTTTGAATCTCTGAGGGAAGAGGAAAGGACCCACAGACTCTTACAAGATGGCATTTAGGATTTGCTTTCAGCTGTCAAAAGAAGCAGTCCCATCTTGCAAGCTTTGCTGTCTGTTGGTCTGTCTGAAGACTACTCTTCTGTAGTATTTGCTTTTCCAGCAGTCATACTGTGCAATGGTGTGACATTAGTATGACACTTTGTGGAATCGTAAACCTAAGTTGACTTAACTCAGTGCAGCTTACTTACAAACGTTTAATTCTGCAATGTTGGAACTTTGGTTCTTTACATGGCCTGGGAATAATTTTGTTATTGTTGTACTTTGTATTCTTACAGCAGAAGGATGTTGCATGTGACAGATTTGCTTTTTTTTTTTATCACTTCATAGCATTTATGTAACCAAAGTGTTCTTACTAAATCTAACCATAAAGCTCTAGCAGATTTAAATAATAAATAATACATATTTCATTAACTAATGGTAGCTGCCACAAATAACGACGACGCTTATTTTTAACAACTCATTCTTCCATGTCTCTTTGCAGCTATTTATCAGAAAGTCTCATGCTGAAAGAAAACAGAACATCCTTAGCCAAGCTCCTAGATGGCATGAAATGTAAGTAAACATTGGAAAATATGATAAACTATTTCTAAAGGAAGAAAACCAGCTTTTTCCAAACAATAAAACCTTTAAGCATAAAGGTGTGCTTTGAGTGGTTTTCTTCGCCTTGGGGCATGCATAAGGTTAAGTAAAACACGGGCAGTAGAGTGAACTACCACTAGCATGTGGATGCAAGAGGAGAGGACACTGAGACTCAATTTCCTGCGATGCGAACAGATGAAATTAAAAGGCAAAGGGCCTGATGCATCTCAGAACATAAGTTCTGTAGTCAATTAAGTGCTAGCAACTGACTCAAAAGTGAGAAATCTATTTTGTGAACTAGATAATGGTTTCTGTAAGTCAGGATGAAATGACTCTTCAGTCATTGTGTCTTAAAAATTGCAACTTCGGGCAAAAGCCTGCATATAACTGCTGTACCGCCAGAGGGTGCCTTTTCTAAGCTAGATGATTAAGGTTAAGTGATATGTCAGGATTTACACTTCACTTCTGTCCTGCAGCTATAGGGATATTTCCAAAGATGTTTAGGTTTTCTAGTGTGGGAAATGATGTTATTTAGAATTAATTCTTGGATGTAAGATGATACCTAAGTCTTATATATGTAATCTTTGATTCTCTAAAGTTTGAGTGCTGTGTGGGGTGGGAAGTTTCATAGGCAAGGAGTTTGGGAGAAGTCAATATTTTGAGTGTCTAACGCTTGCTTCGACAAGTATAAGGATTTTACATGGTAAGCTGTTCTGCTGTTTGCAGTATGTTGCATGTTTACTTGTAGTGTCTTTTGAGGCTGTTTAAAAACTAGATAGGATGCTTTCAAAACCTTACAGGGGTGTGGACTTCAAAACCGCTTAGATCTTGTTTTTTTTTTTCCCCTCTGTGTTCCTTTTTTTTTTTTTTTGTATAGGTTGGGTTTTTTTTCCTATTAGAAGCTGCTTGAAAATGTACACTGTGTTCCAGCTACTATGAGGGAAGGGAGGGTAAACTGTTGGCTCAAGCTTAAGTATGAGGAATAAGCAGTAACAGTAGCTGTACTACTGACTGATAAGCTTGTGTAATGCACAAGGCAGAGCAGAAATTACTTAATTTGCTGAGAGCTGTGTTGTTGCCACTGCAGGCATGAAAAATCTCATAAAGAAATATGAACTGCCAAGGCCTGAAGAGGTTGCTGCTCTAAAACAGAAATTAGAGAAGTGTCACAGCTCGGAGCTTTCACTTAATACAAACCCGTAAGTAGATACTTACTCTTTGATGGGTTAAACTTCTGCCTTTTTTTACTGCTATAGAAACATAAACTTTCTCCAGCCTGTGTGGGAGATTGAAGATGAAAGCATTTAAATGTCCACACAGGGATGTCTGTTCACATGCTCACTCTGTTGAGTGCCTACTGGAAGCCAAGAACCAAGATTCAAGGTAGTGCTTTCGGTAATATGTGAATACGTTCTTTTGTGCTGATTTGCGCTGCAAGCTGTAGTATTGATTGTTTGTAACACAGAACTGGAATCCTGGGTGGCTTCAGTGGTCTGGCCACTTGATGTCATATGTAATGAGAATAGAGGGCTTTAGAATCACATGATTGAAACAAGAATTGTGTAGTGTTAATGTTTTCTTAAGACTTATGTGGATGGAGAAGGACTTCCTGATTTTTCTTCTCTGCTCTTTTCACTTTAGTACCCTCTGTGAACACCCAGGTGCTATTAGTTGAGGCTTTGGTAGTTTTTTTACTTGACAGATATGTCCGTAGTCTAATCTTGTGGCCAAATAAGGAGACTCTTAAACATACCTAAACATTTCACTTTTTTTCTGGATGGGTTTTAGGAAGAAGAGGAAAGGTTATGAAGATGATGAATACGTCGCAAAGAAATCTAAAATGGATGAGGTCAGTAAAACTCTTGTACAAGTACTTCGTTTTTCACTCTTCACTGCCAAGACAAAAGCGACACAGCTACTGAGACAGCCTTCTGCATCTGTTAATGTTCTTTTACATGTTGCTCAGTCTTTTTCAACTTTGTTTTTAAAAATGCACCAGAGTTCGTACTAGCCTGTGTTTCGGAGCATTCCTAAACACCGCAGTCTCTTGTGGAGAGGGGGGAAGGACATGCAGGCCACCCTTGCTGCTGTTCCCTGTGCTTTGAAAGTCTTCTGACAAACTGGAGAAGGTGCACAGAACAACATAAAGCTCAGTGCTTACAGTTCCAGCATGTGAAGCTCCATGGTGCTGGTGAGGGGAAACAGCTGTGAAACTGAGATTTGGAATGTTATGATGAAAGGAGGTTTCGGAAGGCCAGGAACTGAACATTTGAGGAGAAATCCTACCTCTACAGGCAGAAACTCAGTCCTCAGAACGTGGATGAAATAAATTGAGTATATGCTGAAATACACTCAAGCAGCATTTTTTCATGGAAGTTTTATGTGGTGTTTTTTCTGCTGGCCAGTGTTTCTCAAGCTGTTTTTGTTTTTTTTCTTTGGCTTCTTGCACAAAGCAGAAGTCAGCTGCTGGACTAAATTTCTACGTCAGCCAATTTGCCGGCAAGGCTTGCATAAATGACAGATGTGTAGCTGGTACCTCGGGTTGTAAGACCAAGTGTAAATAAGGTGGAGATAGACTGAGGAGGGTACTCAGCAAATGAAAACAGAATTAAGGTAACACTTCAGACGTAATCTGAACACCTTTCAGAGCTTTCATTTGGAACGTTGACTGGGAGTGGTAGAGAATCCATTCTGGTAGAGGAACAGCTTTGTGAAGAATGCTTTTAACTGGACTTCTCTTGACACTGACGTACATCCTGAGACTCCAGGAAGCCTTAAGCATGGCATCCAGAAAAACTTGCTAACAGTTGAAGAGGGTCATCTGTCAAAATCTTTAACATAAAATGCAGGATGAGTGGGTTTTTTGTAATTGAAGGAGTCTTGCTATTATAAGTCATCGTAGTAGGTTGATGCTATAATGTCAAACTAGAATCTTAAAAAATCATTTGAACAAGATTGTAAGAAAATCATCATTGAAAGTATGTTCTGACAAAATGTGGAACCTCAAGCATATCTTATGATATCAGTTTATTGCTATAAAAACGTTGACTCACGTTTACTCCAAAGCCAGTCTTAAAAAGTGTATTGAAACTGGCAACTCCATAAAAGTAGCACTTTCATAACTTTTCACTTTCTCACAAAATGACTTGGAGAACAGCGCCTCCTAAACTCTGGAGGCTCACTTCTTCCTCCCTGCCCCAGTTTAATTTTAAGGGGGTCGTATTTTAGTTATGCTGCTATGGTTTGAGTTAGTTTTTATTTGGGGGTTTCTTATTCATTTATATTCACAATTCTTTTTGCAAAGGACTAGACTAATTGGATAAATTCACATAGTCTACAGCATTTCACAATAAGCTCTCGCACAGTTGTAACAGCTCTTGAAACTCAGGCTTTTTAAATAGCTGATGTATATGAACTTCCAAGGATTTGTATTTGTATAGTTTCATTTCTGAGTAATTACCACATGCAAGAGCAGCTCTGAGATAGCCAGGATATAAAGGAAAAAGTGAGCTTCATTTCTGGAAAGCTTATAGTATGTGCCTACTGCTCAGACCTTGAGACCGTGCTAATCCTGGAGCTAGCTGATGTTGACAGTAGCTACAGCCCTAAGTAATTAGGCTGTAATACAGAAGCGCTCAATCTGTTCTAATCTACTTGTAAGATTTTTGTTTCTTGATTTCGTAGCTGATTGATTGGTAATACCAACAGCAAGGCCTTACCTGGTATGGAGAGCTTATCAGTTTGAAATGATAGAAGAAACATGGAGGGTACTGGTTGAGCGCAGGTGACTCAGCTGCCCAAGTAATGAAGCCAGAAAACGCACAAGACACTAGTAAAAGGTTGCAATATGAGCTCTTGTGGAGATCGCAACAAAGTTGTCCGTAATGAAGAAGCATGAGCTAAACCTCAAACAGGTGCTGAAACGGGGCTGCTAAAGTGAGTGGGCCTCCATGACTTCAAGCCTAGGTGTGGATAACTAGCTTTAAGGTCAAAGGGGCTTAGTCACCACTAGTTAAAATATTTTTTTAGTCTTCTGTTCATGGAATACTTCTGTTAGGTACTAAATCTGGTCATGAAGAGCGTAGGGTATTTTTTGGTGTGGGTTTTTTTATTTTTGGTGTTCTTGATAAGCATCAGGGCATGCTTGCAGAAGCAAGAAACGGGGTTTAGTTAGTCCCAGGAGGCTTTCAGTCCTGTGTCCTGGGATTAGCCATCGTTAGCTGAGGAGGAAGTCTTCCCTCTGATGCATTTACTTGACTGTGTTACTCCTGTTTTCTTCCCTGTGCCAGACACGGAGCACACTGGGTCGTACTGCTTGGGCAGGGCAGGCAAGACACAATTTAAATGAACCCAGGAATCAACACTTAATTGGAGTCTCATGACAGATTGGGGCATGTTTAAAGAAACTCCTTTAGCAGCGGGAGCGAGCCTGTGCAGGCGTTCAGGTGGTGGGGAGCCCAAGGAAAGGAAGTACCCTTCCATGTTGTTCAGCCGTGGTTGGCCATGACCTGAGGTCAGGCACGTCATGAGCAGCTGAAAGGGAACTTAACAGACATCAAGTAACTTCTGCCGAGACCTTGCGTGAATTCTTATTTCCAGTTTGAGCCAGCCTTGTAAGTTAACCTGGGCTGACAGCTGCTACCTGGTCCTCAGGAGGAGAAGGGAGCGGGCAAGATAAGTTGGGGCAGAAATGTATGTCTGTCAAGTAACGTGGACTTGACAGACCGCCAAGCACAGTGTTTAAAACCAGTGTGAACTTGGTATTGAAGTCTACTACTGATAGCAGGCACAGTTCAGAGGTGTGGAAAGTTAATCTGCGTTACATAAATTCTCTTAGACTGGCGTATATAGCAGCATTTACTGACTGTAGGTACACAGGCTGTCACAGGTAGTGCCTGGCCCACCTTGCCGTATGTCCTGGTTTCGGCTGGGATAGAGCTAATTTTCTTCATAGTAGCTAGCATAGTGCTGTGTTTTGGATTTAGTACCAGAAGAATGTTGATAACACACTGATGTTTTCAGCTGTTGCCAAGTAGTGCTCAGACTACTCAAGGACTTTTTGAGCTTCTCCTGCTCGGCCAGGTGCATAACAAGCTGGGAGTACAGCACAGCTAGGACAGCTGACCCAAACTGACCAAAGGGCTATTCCAGACCATAGAACGTCATGCTCGGGGGGGGGTGGGTGTGTTAGTTAGTTCGGTTGGTCGGTTGCGGGGAGACTGCTCGAGGCTCGGGATGGGCTGGGCATCGGTCGGCGGGTGATGAGCAATTGCATTGTGCCTCATTCGTTTTGTATATTCTGTATATTCTGTTATCATTCTCATTATTACTATTATTATTTTCTCTTATTAAACTGTCTTTATCTCAGCCCTCGGCTCTAACCTTTTATTTTCTTTCCGATTCTCTCCCCCATCCCACTGAGGGAGGGGGGGGAGTGAGCGAGTGGCTGTGTGGTGCTGAGTTGCCAGCCGGGTTAAACCACGACACCGTAAAACACAGCGAATTCACACATTGCTCACGGTGTTGCTTTTTTCCCCTTCCATTAGGAAGAGTGGACTGATGATGATCTTGTGGACTCGGTGTAACCTTGAAGGAAGGTGGAATCCTAGTGCTGCAGGAACTACTGTTCGGTGTCAAGCGTGAACCTGCCTGCCACAGGTTCCTTACTCCATGTCACGAGGTATTTATTCTGTCAGTTAACGTCTTTGCAATAAAGCATGTGACTTTGCTGAAATAATTCGTTGTGGTTCCGTTAAACCCTCATCCATTCAAGATCAAATGCTAGTAAGAAATGTTCGCGGGCAGGAATTTTACCACTCGGGGACGAGTTTTGGTTCAGGAGGGCTTAGATGCAACGTTAGCTACTGCCATGCTGTAGTCCTGCATGTACCTCAACCTGGGCATTTTGTGAACTGGTAAATGCAAGCAGGAGAGGGAGCTGGTAACACACCCGTGTGTGTGTCAGGGCAGGATGTGCTCCCCTCCTTAGTTCATCACCAAAGCAGCTAAAACTACAACTGTGCAGGTAACACTTCGTACGTTTGGGAAGCTCTCCTCAAATGTACTGAGAGGCTGCAGCAACAAATTTTGGAAAGTATGGAAAGTAATAGTCACACCTTTGTGACTTGCTCTGCAACTGTGATCTTGGATTAGTTTCCTGTGACTAGCTTACCTGGGGGGAACTGAGGAGAGCATTTTAAAAATCTTCCTAAGGAGTGAGAGGCCTTCCAAATTAGGGCAAAGTCTGTTTCCTTTTCAAGTGCTGTTTTAGAATACAAGCACGCACACAGTCCATATACATACCTCCATGAACCTCAGGAGTTGCCTGGTTTCATCACTGCATTTTGCATGGAATAGGTGAAGAGCCAGGCAAATCTCTTCTCCACTGTTTTTATGGGTTAGTTCTACTACCTACACCCAGCCAACACAAAATACCCCACTTTGTCCACTCTGGCCTTGACAAATCCTTCTACACTGGGTTCACTGGCTGCGTAGTCAGGGAGGAAAAGCAGCTATGGCAATTTCACTTCAGAAAGCCTGGCACCATTTCCACAGCACCTTTGTGACCAAGTGAAGGAAGTGTGACTTAACTGGAACTGTGTTAAGTCGTGCACTTTGGGTCTGCACTGGTTGGCAGCTGTAAGCAGAGCAGTTCATCACACCAAAAATGCTACCAACTGTGACTGGTGTGAGCTAACAGCGTACAGAGAGGGAACGAAGCGGGGCACAGGAAGATTGTTCATTACCTTTTCCTCAGGTGCAGTTTAACACAGCCTCGGCAGCAGTAGGTCCAGCAGTGGTTTTATGGGACGACCTAAAAAGGAGAGGCCAGGGCAGCAGAGCAGGAGCCAACTGCAAACCCCGTGCACTACCATCACAGCAACGACCCCGAGGTAACAGTCTAGGCAACCTGCGTGAGAGCGCATGAGAAGGCAGTTCTGAGGGAGGGGAGGTACCGTGCAGGTCTTCTAAGGGTGTAGCAGCCGTGGTGGTGTTACACGATAATTTATGTGATTATCTCCGTCTCGTCCATCAGTCTCTGCATCCTTTTGTCCCTTACTAGGTCCCTGCCTAGAAAAGTTACAAACGGCAATGCTGAAATACCCTCCGACTCCACTGCCTGTTTTGCTTCTGATTTTTAACAGTTTTAACACCTACTTTCTCGCCCCGTGAGGGATCTGTAACAAACTGAGGCCTATGGACAAGGCAGTGCTATTCTGAGGGTTCAGGCTAAATAAGTGACACCACGTGAACATTTCCAAGTACATCGCGTGTGCAGACACTGTAAAAAACTTCCACAGCAGCCAAAGGTAGCCAGTTTCCATAAAGAGTTGATCTGCAGCTTGGTTTATTTTAAAAACTTTCACTTATAAAAATAATATTTATGCTAGACTTACAGTACACAAAAGACCAACCAATACATATTTTATAAAATGGTTTAATGAAAGCATGCATGCCTGATACAATGATCAATAAATTTACTGAATTCAAATTATTTACTGTTGTAAACATTTTACAAAAGCATTGTGATTTTTATCTGGATACACAGTTCTTGATGGAAGAACTACTCGGACTGAATCAGTGGCACATCAAAAAAAAATAAAGCTGACAAGACCCATTCTGCATTATTCTCTTTCAACATGATTCCAGCAAGAGAAACAGCATGGTATAAAAAAAGTGTACAGTAAAGATTGTTCCTACCATAACATCAAATTCTGCAAACTGTAAATACAAGTTAAAGTGGTTGAAACAGTCAGAAGTCGCAATTATTGTAACCAGTCAGAAATTACAGTAAGAAATGTTATCCAGTTATAGGTAGCTGTCAAAACGACACGTTTCTTTCCACGTCAGTTGATAACTCTTTTTCCAACGAGACAGCAAAACTTTGGCAATCAGAGGTGCTGAAAATAATTTTCAAAAGTTCAAGACACAGTCACAGCATTTTCTTTGCGGAAGGTGAACTGTACACCAAGGCTCAGAGGTTGTGAAAACTGTTTCCAAGTGGAAAAAAAGTGCAAATGTCCTGCACAGATAGCTTAAAAAAGGCTGCTGGTACAATCGTTCACCAACAGGATCTTTCTTTTCTTTTTGCATAGTTCACACATCACTGGGAATGTGACAGGGTGTGCTATTTTTGGCAAGAGCAAGAAGAAAGTGATACTGGTGTGAGTCGCCATGTTGGGCATGCTGGATCCATGCAGAATTCAGGTAGAGGGCTGCTACCTGGTGTTGTTGGACACTGAATACTGGTTTTGTTTTTGTTGAAGCAGTTCAGTAATAGCCAAGAGCTTCTTAAGAACATGCTGCAGAGAGAGAGTCGGTAAGAACCCCCACGTTAGCAACTGGGAACAGAACAGCCTTGCTTGAGGAGCGTTTTCAGCATGAGCCTATCAGACCTGCTGCTAGGGAGTTTGAAGTATTTTGAAACCATTACTAAAAAAAAAAAAAACAAAACCCCACCAAACCCAAAACAGCTGAAACAGCCGACTCCCTAGTCAGCGAGACACTGCTCCAAAGGGGAAGTCTAGAACAGCGTTACGAACTGTGCCTCTCCACCCACGGATCTCTGCGCTGCTCGGTGGTCTAGCACGGAGGCCCAGAGCGTACTGCCAGCCCGCTGCCGGGGCGTGCGAGGAGAGCCTGCCATGTGCACAAACCTACTGGCAAATTCGGAAGCAGAAATGGGAGGTATCAATAGAAAGCTAATGAAAATAAATTTAGTTCTCAACTGAAAAAAAAAAAAAAAAAAAAAAAAGAGATCCTGGAACTAACGACCCAGGAGACAGTAATTTTGTGGGTTTAGGCTTCCTCTAGAAACTAAAACTTCCTCTGGCTACTTTAAAAAAAGAACCGCTTTGGTTTTGTTGCATGAAGAAACAAAACTAGGGACTAAGTACGTACCTTTACAGCTCGCTAGTAACCTCCTGGTGAAGTGCACGTGTTCTAAATGTTTATCGGTCATACTGCGAGCCAGAAACACTACAGGAGAATGCTGAGGTGAAGGAGTGACTGAGGACATCCTGCCTGTTCCTTGTCACTCACCTGCATTACACCTCGCTCGTTACTGAGCGTCCGGAGTTCATCCGAGTGTGCCACACATATCTCGTGCAAGGCCGCCAGGTCGCGGGACAGGTCAGTTCTAGAGTGCTCCGTAGTGTCTGGAAGCTCAGGAACGTTCTTCAACAACAACAACAACAAAAATAGACAAGAGCAGATGTAGGGTGCTGAGGACCCGGGCACACAGGAAGATCAGTTACAGCCCCGCAGCTCTGCCGACCACAAGCAAGTACTGCAGTGCCTGGTCTTCCCAGCTAAGTCTCCGGTCCATCTTTCTACTACAAATTACATATTTATTTCCTCCTCTCTGCAAGCGCTTTATGAGTATGCTGCAGTGTCTACTCCTGCTAGAAGGGTTCTTCCTAAAAGATCTGGTATTGCTACACCACCGTGGAGCTGACCAGAAGGCTGCTGCACACGGAGACTCATAATCTGCCCCTAAATGAGGGGGAATCCATCCGCCAGGTGCTTTTTTTATCTAGCTAAACGAGAAAACAGCAGCAACAAAAATCCAGCAAAATTTCTAAGTATCATTACACTGGTCATAAAACAGTAGCATTGTAATTGAAACTGCAGATTAATCCAACAGTTACTTTGCAAGCCAACAGTTTTCAGAGACCTGATGCGCTATCTATCATTTAAAGAAAACTGACATACATTGTGCAGAAGTTGCAATTTAAACAGAAAAAGCTGTCGTACAGCAACCCACCTGAATGCCTCACTCATTTTTGTACCTTATCAAAATATTCTGAGGGATCTTCTAGGTCACCTCTAGGGACCAATTCAGGAAGATTGGCGCATTTTTTTCATCTTGTTTTTTAAAGCTAATCCTTGGTTTAAAAATACACGTATATAGCACGTGGTCCTAACTCCA